GCTGCTCCGCACTCCATGATTTGCGCCGCTAAGTACCTAAGCCCACCGGTTAGTGGAGTAATAAAAGCCCATCATATCAGCTGAAGCCCCTGAGGCGCATCAATGCAGCCTTCTGTCGGTGCCACCCTTCCATCCTGGCCGGATCCGACCCCCCACACGGAGAAGCAACCTATTCTGTGATTCAAGGATAATCTCGGTTCTACCAACCACGGGGCCGCCAGGTTAACCGCGCTCCAACCTATCATTGACGTAGCAAGTGCACTAGCGGCTTCAAGAACGTGTGCATGTTTCAAGGAAAGCACCATAACAGCCACTGATCTTGACAAAGTAGAAGGATTGCCATGTGCCTTATAGGCAAAGACAACGATTCGTTGAAGGCGAATACCATATCAATCAAACGATGGCTGAAGATCCACCCCCGCAGCCGAGTAGGACTGCCCGGTCAAAACTGTATAGACACGAAAATAACCTTGATTATGCCATCTTAATGTTCAACTTGCCTTGGAGGGCCTTGCATCGTGCCGGAGGAAAGAGACTGCCGGCGCGCCCACCGCTGCGCTCGGATCCCGAGCTGCTGTACCCCCCTTTTTGTCGCAACAGGCGGTGCTGTCTGTCTCCTGTCTACCTTCAATGTGACCTACCTGGAACTTCTCCTTGAGTAGTTGGCTGCAAGACGCAAAAGCATACGACTCTAACCCTGGCGCAATATAACATGCTATGCTCGCTTTTCGAAAGATATAATACCACTTGGTGCTGTAACTGCTAAATACCTGTAATCGGCATCAGGGTTTTGGAACCATCTGTTGAGATCCCGGCGACTTATCCTCATTCGCTCATCTAATCATATCTCTGGAACGATAAACTCAGCCAACCGGCCGTTCTCGGCATCCTTGGAATTGACTCGGGGTCTGTTCCTGGCTCATGTCAGCCAACCGTAAGGTTATACGTACTCACGTCAGTTCAATTATCCGCCAGACCTTCTTCCTTCAGCAGAGTTCAGGATGTTTGGACGTATGAAGTGACTAAGTAGTCAAAAAGTGTGATCAAAATTCGTAGTCTGCATATGTTTGGTATCATTAGCTTCAACGAGACCCAAGTTTGAGGTAGCTAGGCGCAGACAGCGGGTTCTATCTGCGCCAACTTGGCGATGGGAAAGATACACGTAATTACAACGAAGGAGACCTCTCCAAGCGAAGAGTACCAGCTGAGGCTAGATGAGCAATACTGCTATCCCCTATTCACCACCAATCCAACCGATTTCTAGCTCAAATGCCAATCAGACACAGAGCATACCCCTACTACCAGACTGGCTGGATCGGTTGATTAGATTCAGGCTTGAGCATGGGAGTTCGGCCCTATTCAAAGGAACCCTGAAAAGCGTTCTTCTAAAATAAATTGCAGATCATGATCTGTCTCAAGTTGTGAAGCAACCTGGCGTCGGGTGTTGGAATGTCCATTCCCAGTGCGCCCTGGAGAGGCGGCAAGTGATCACGACTGACATCATCAGACGGCGAACCAGTAAGAAAGTGACCCAGTCCAGTCATTCACAAAGATCTCGAATACTGGGAACCGCCAAACACGTCCATGTTTCCTCAGCGGGGCTCATAGCCATATAACTGACTTGCGTTTGTACCGCATCGAGGCGGGGACTCCCTGTTTCATCTGAAGCTTGAACCAGTCAAGCTCTTTGATCCAAGTCCAAGCCACCTCTGATAGCACCGCTGCATATACCCGTCGGCTACCCCCGTCCCGGGGTACCCAAACCCACTCTGCGTTTTATCCTTGGCGCATATGATGGAGATCTCAAGTGCCGATGTGGAGCAGTTATCTTTGCGTGAACAATATTCAAATCGCAAGAGCCATCTCAAGCATATTATCCAGCACCACACTAAATGCCGAACGACATGTTACTTGACAGGGAGACTACTGAACACTCAAATGGTTCAGGATCATATCTGCTATCCGCTGACTGTCAAGCTTTCGCCGTGGCTAAATAAAGAGACAAACAGGCCAAGGCCAATCATCGAATGGGAGCACACACCAGAAAGACGCACAGTTCTTAATTTGGCATCGGAATACTTTGGAACATCAATACGAGAAAGGGTTGTCCCGGCAGCTCGCTCGCCGCAGCTGGCATCGGAATGCCACTCAAAGTTTAATGCATGAAATCAGTCATCCCAATACTTCGCCCCTTCTAGGTAGTAGATTGCCGCAGTCTACCATTAGAAAGTATGAAGTCTGACCGCACGGCAAGAAAGCCGTTCACGCAGACACATCCGATAAAAGGTATAGCTCTTACCGTCGAAGATCATGGTTCGTTTGATGAGGTGTGCTGTCTCGACCTTGACGATTACAAAACAGACACATTCTCTCTCTTTGCTTTGATCACTTGCCAGAATTCGTTTTTGTAGGGGGACACCCTTTGACGGCAATAATCATGAAGTTCTTCGAGGAAGCCAAGTCTGATTTCCAGACAGACAGCACTATCAATACAGTTCGGAGAAAGGTGGCCTCAGGACTCCCAAGATTGCCCCAAGCAACCGGACAGTATCTCATCGAGAAAGTTCCGATTGTTCAGTGGCTTCCGCAGTATCACCCGAAATGGCTCCTATCCGACTTTATTGCAGGAATGACGATTGGTGTCATGATGATTCCCCAAGCATTGGCTTATGCGAAGATAGCAACAATCCCCGGGGAGTTTGGTCTCTATTCTAGCTGGCTACCAGCTGCTATTTACGTCTTCATGGGAACTTCGAAAGGTGCGTACGGCCAATATGCTCAGGTGTACTCATTTTCTAACATTGACTCAGACCTCTCCACCGGGCCAACTTCCATCATGGGCCTCCTTACCGCCGAGATTATAACGGATCTCAAGACGGAAGGGTTTGCTGCTCAGGACATCTCATCAGCCGTCGCGTTGATGGTCGGCATATACTCGCTCATTGTTGGACTGCTCAAACTCGGCTTTATCTTGGAATACATTTCAGTCCCTGTTCTTTCTGGATTTCTGTCTGCAGCTGCTATTACGATTCTTTTGGGCCAGGTTGGCTCGCTTGTTGGCCTTAGCGATGTTCCCTCCGGCACCTCGGCTATCATCAGTAACGTTCTGTCACGTATCCCGGAGATGGAGCCTCTTACTATCGCTATTGGATTCAGTGGCATTTTAATGCTGTACATTCTCGAATTCATTGGAAAGAAGTGGGGAAAGAAGAGCGCAATAATCAAATTCGCCTGCAGTAGCCGAGCGGTCATCCTATTGCTCATCCACACGACAATCAGTTTCCTAGTCAACAAAGATAGAGCAGACCCCTTGTGGGCTATCAGCAAGGTTAAGGCCAACGGTCTTCAAGCGCCAAAGATTCCTGCCGGAGACCTTGTGTCCAAGGTTACCACCAGAGCAATCGCCCCTCTCGTAGCTTCAGCCCTCGAGCATCTGGCCATCGGAAAGGCTTTTGGCCGAAAGAACAGCTACGCAATCGACGAAAGCCAAGAGCTCTGTTATCTCGGTATCACAAACACAATCAACAGCCTTTTTGGAGCAATGAGCGTGGGCGGTGCCATGTCAAGAACAGCTGTGAACTCAGAGTGCGGTGTCAAGAGTCCGCTCAGCGGCGCCTTTACCGCTGGGTTTATTCTGCTTACCTTGTACAAGCTTTCAGGAGCTCTGTTTTGGATCCCCAAAGCTACTCTTTCCGCAATTATCGTACGTTCGAAATGCCCCTCCTTTCTTATATCGGCGCAAGCTAACAGAATTTCACCAGATCATGGCCGTTATACACATCATTGGCCCTGTTTCCGTGTTTTACCGTTACTGGCGAATTTCGTTCATGGACTTTGTAGCTTCGATGCTCTCTTTCTGGGTCACACTTTTTGTGTCTACAGAGATGGGCATTGCTTTTGCGGTGTTGTTCAGCATAGGATACACCTTGGTTCGATCCGCATTCCCGAAGGTCAAGACGTTCTCAGCTACAAGTGGCCAGAATCGCACGATTCAGCGAGAGCAGGCGGCTGTGTCTTCTGCTGCAGAAGATACATTCGTTCCCGAAGACGCCATGCTGGTCAGTTTCACCGACTCGATCTTCTTCCCAAACGCCGGCCGCATCAAGAAGTCAGTGCTTGAGTCCGTTAAAGTACAGTTTGAACGACAAGAGGTTGGGGATCAGTCACAGAGCAAATCAGTCGATAGGTCTTGGAGTGTGGCATCGTCTAAACGCATCGAAATGTTGCGGAAGCGAGACAACGTGATGCCCTCGAGCAAGCAGATGGCTGTCATGGTCTGGGACCTGACACATGTCCCCTTTATCGACGTAACCGGTGTACAGACACTTTCTGAGTTGAAGGAGGGAGCGAAACAGCATGTAGGAAAACAGATGTCACTTAGGCTGGTAGGCATGAACAACAAAACCCGCCGCAGATTCTCTCGCGCAGGCTGGAAGATTGTTCAAGACCGCGAGGTTGACGACTCAACTCCAGAGCACGTCGATGTTGCGTATGAGACCATAGAGGCGGCTTTATGGGATAGAGACTTTGCAGTTAGGGACGAAAAGTCAGGACTCCAGGGAAGAGCATACTACAGCCCCCGAGAAGGGTCTCCATAGCGATGAGCTGGGTGCGTAGTCAGGTGTGCAGGTTGATGCTGGGGCTCTAGAGGAGAGGCGAGCATTGTAAAAGTGCTCCTCTTTAGTGGCTGTGTCTTATCGTTCTGATTATTTCATTCTCGTTGACGAGACTTTGGGTTGCTTGCTTGGGAACTTTGGCCTTGGAAGAAACAACAAGGAGCCCTGGTGGCCCCTTGAATGAGTACAACAGAAAGCATAGCAAAAACATGATTATTGGATTCCTTCTAATTTTGTTCAATACAATCTCAAGAGATTCTAAGTCTCCAAGAAGTAATTGATCTAGTTACTAATTACTTTGCGCCCACTCATATACTTCTAACGTCACCTTGCATTACGTTTATTTCGACAAAACCCAGGTGCTTGCCGAGAACGACTAAACTACTATACTGCTTGGGCAAGTTCTTCTCCATTTCGCCGCATCATTCGCTTTCCCAGCCGCTCTTGTAGATTTTTGACCGCCGTGGCTCTGGCTGTTCGTGGTGTCTCCGGAGTTGCGGGGCGGGGGCTTTCCTCCGCTTGCTTCTTGAGATTCCTCTTACCGAGCCTGTCTTGAAGAGTTCTCACCGCTGCGGCTCGGACTGTTCTTGGTGTGGCAGGAGAAATCGGAGAGCTGGGAGACGCCGGGAGAGGTCCCTCCACCTGGGACCGCCTGGCATTTTCGGTCTCCTGCTGCTTGAGTGCACGGAGACGCCTAGCAACTTTTGACTGCATTCTAGCAGCTGCCGAGGTTCGAGGCCTGGAAAAGTTGTGCACATCGGATCTCATGGACCGGACCGTCGATGTCGGGCTCGCAGGTCGTGTAGCTAGTGCTGCTATAGACGGATGTTGGCTCGGCGGACGTGTGCTTGGCCGTGAGCTTTGCTCAGATATGACTCGACTCTCTGTCCTGTACGTAAGACGTCGCCCCTCAAGAGAACTGACACTTGATATCCTACGCCTCCGTCGTCCCTCGTTTGGCAATACATTGCTGTCAGGTCGAATGCTATTGGTAATGCCATCCGCTCTGGTTACGAGGGTTGCAATGTGTGGGAGTGAAGGAGGATGGTCTGGAGTAGCCTCAAGACCATAACGAGACGATCTAAATGTCGTCGTGGTGCGTGAACTTGCTGGCTGGCTAGCTTGCCTCATCTGTAAATGATAGTTTGCCTCCCAATCCCCATCCCGGGTCGAAGGTCTGCGCCCTACGAGTCTGTTTTCTTCTTCCATGGTCATCAATGGAGTCAGCGGCCTTCTGAATGGAATATCCAGAAATCGACCGTTGATGGGAGGTGATTGCATGCCGATAGCAGTCCATCTTCTTGAATCATACCTCCCCTGTTCTTCAAGTAGAGCCTGACTACGCGGAGAGTACTCAGCTTGCCGAGGCATGGATGGCAAAATCACTTCGCCAGGCCGTGCCGAGGCATTGGTGGATATGTCGGAATCCCCTTGTCGCATACTGGCATGTTCACGCCACGTAACCCAATCATCGAGTGCCACTCTCCCGGCTGCTTTTGGTGTCGCGCCATCCCTCGTCGGTGGCTTCCATGCAAATGCACTGGAGGACACCGGAGAGTCGGGCATCACGGCACCAGGGCGGTCCCCGAAGACAGCATTCAAGGGAGTTGGCATGGATATGCTTCTGGCATGGCGTCTAGCAATTTCGTTAGTCTTCAGTCATATTATGAACAGAAGTAAAGTTACTTACAAAGCTCTTCGCTGAGGCTCTTGAGGATTCCTTTTCGTCAGAGTCTTGCGCTTTCGCTTCTGGGGTTTGCTTGGCACACGGGGCTTTTCGGCGTGCTTCTCGATATTCTCCTGGAGGCTCGGCGTCATATAGACGACTCCCGGCTCAAGGTCGTCGTCATCATCAGGACATGCTAGTGGATCCTCGCCTCGAATGAACCAAGCTTGAGAAATGCCTAGAGTCGCGAATGGACGATCTGCCATCTCAATAACTGCAAGTACTGCTGCGAGAGAAAACCTTGTGAAGGTATTAGCTCTGACCATCCAGTCCCTTTGGATTCAATCACTCACAAGGAAGATATGCTGATTATGACATTTAGCCATGGGAGATTTTCTTGAACCCCCTTGGAAAGATCCAGTCCAATGTTCACAGCCACAAATATCGACAAAGTGATGGCTGCCACCCAAACGGGAAGACCTAGCCTAGCCAGCAAAAAGGCAAAGCCGGCAACATATTTGCCGTATTTAGTTGGAGATCCATAGTTCTTGATGTACGCTGTTCGTCCAGCGACTAAATGCGTGAAGACGTAGACGAGACTCATGCAGGAAGCAACGAAGAAAACAGCTCGGCTAAGAGGATCGAGGACCTCTGTTGACTCGAGATCCTGGAACAAGACCACAGCTGATAAAGCTATACCAGCCCCGGCCGAAATGAATAATAGTATTACCGAGAGAAGAGACAGTACGGGATACAATCGATTGGCTTTCTGAGGGGCTGTTTTTGGTGGCAATGCGAGCGGCGGCACTGAAGTCGTCGCGTCCTCATAGTGCTGACTCATTAGTACTCGATTCCATCCACACGACGCAATAGTGTTATCCGGTGTCGCCCCGTGTTTGTAGTGAGAAGACTCGGATTGATCGGGTGCCACTGACGATCGACTTTGACTCAGCAGCGTCGGAGAGCGCGATCACACAAGGCAGTGTTGCCTGAACCCCAACGGTGACATTGAAACCTTGTAAAAACGTGATAATTCTCCGTGAGTGTGGCTTGATTTGCAGCTGGACAGCGGACGAGAGGGGTTTTGTTTGCACATGCCACATAAATTAGCTATGATTCATCTGAGTTTCTGGAGTGAGCATGACGTGTCGCCTCGTTCAGACTCGAGATCAATAGCACAATCCGAAGTTGCTGAGGTTCCATCCCCCGGCAATCTAGCCGACGCATGGATGCCGACTGAGTCTCTTTGTGTGTGATCGGTTCTCATCTGATGTTCGCACCGGCATGTGAAACAATGCGATGGCCGAAATGGCCCAAACTCACGTACAGCAAATGGGCTGCGCATAGACTTCAGAACGTTTCGGGTAGCCGGATCGAACGCTGCAACGAATGATTTCATTGATTCTTTTCGTCTCCTCCCATTTTTTCATTCAAGTCGGTCGCCTCGGTAGGGCCGTTGGTGAGACGAACCTGAAGTACCCAACACTGGGCGTCTTTTGCCCTTACTCAATTTCAATGGTTTCGAGGTTGTCTTTGATTCTGTTGACAGGGGTCACCTCGACGGGGTTCAAAACACTGCTAGACATGATTTTCCTTGCGCTAGGCTTCCTTGTAGTATAGCCCAGAGCGTCTGTTTGCCCATGGAAAAAGGCTACTCCCCCACAAGGGCATTTAATTGCAAAGGCCAAGCGTGAACCGGCTCGGCCAAGAATTGCTTCCACCGGAATGGTCTCATCACTTTTAAGCTCAGTGAGTTTAGCTACTGTGCCTCCCCGCTTGTAGGCCTGTGTTGTGTTGTTACATTGACAGTGGCCCACGTGCCTTATACAATAGGTGTATCAAGCGCGTGTCAAACCTTACCCCTAAGCTTCGACCATTGTTGTGGCATTTGGCCTTACTCTCTGCGTTGCCTTTGTGAGAACAACACAAATACCAAAAGAATTGAATTTATCTGCTTGTATTACATTGACGACGGAATAAGAAGTTGGGCCAGTGCGATCAAAGAACCACTCCCCTCCCTTGCCAATCGGGTTTCCTTACAAGCCCACTCATTACGTTCTCAGCGCCCCGGGCGCGTCCTTCCCCTCTAGGTACAATAGTTTTCAAGGCAATGCCACAATGGTACATCAACAACCCAATCACCATTACATGTAGCCGGGAATGAGGCTCTCGATGATCGCCACCAACTTTCGTATCCCCATCACACTCAAAACCGCCCATTCTGGCGGCGCTAGCCTCCGTAGATAACTGACACAGTGTTCACGCTCCCGACCGCGGCCAGCGGTATCTTGTTGGTCACCATTGCAGGTCTCCAAGTTTCATAGGTACACGAAGCATACGGTGCCCAGAAGCCGTTGGTTGTGGCAGCTTGCCAGCTCGGATGTTTGTCTGCAGAGACTGGTGAAGTAGCTTTGGCTCACCGAGCTTAGCATCGCGCTCTTTGCGTTGCGCAACGAATTCCTCCTCGGTGATACCGTCCCGTAAGTGTTTGTTTAGCTTTCTGTGATCGCTGACTGTCATCCATGGCACTGGGCCTTCTCGATCGTCCGGGGGATAGTCATGGCCTGTCCAAACTTTGACGTGGTCTGGAAGACTAAGAAGCCTGCGGCCCGAGTGATAAAGGTTGTTGGCACTTCCCCCAGGAAAGTCACATCGAGCAGTCCCAATGTCCACGTGGAAAAGGGAGTCACCGCAGAACACATTGTCTTGTCAAGAACATCAGCAAAAGTAAATATGATAACGTGGCGTCCCAGGGGCCCTACCTCCGATCTTATAGCCCAGATGGTCAGGCGTGTGCCCGGGGAGATGAATGGCAGTCGCGCTCAGGTTACCGATGCTAAAACTCTCATCGTCTTCAAAGAGTTTGTCAAAAGCACCATGACGCTCTTGGCTAGGCACGTCATATCGTTGGCCGAATAAGTCCTGTACCTGTCCGATGCGCCGTCCGATGCCAATCTGTGGCCTGTTACCATGCTCCTCTGCGATGCGCTTCTGTAGGTACGAAGCTGCAGTGAGGTGATCTGCATGTGCATGAGTTTCTAGGATCCGCAAGACTCGGTAGCCCTTTTCTTCGACCAATCGAAGCAACTCGTCAGCTGAAGAAGTGGTGATAATTTGAGTTGTGCGGTCATAATCCAGGACTGGGTCAATGATGACCGCAGCTTTCGTCGCTGGGTCTGCAACGACGTATTGCCAGGTTCCTGTCCTTGACTCAAAGACATCGTGAATGACAGGCTGTGTGGTATCGACAGGGGCTGTGCTGTATGAGTATCTTCCGGACTGACTTATCGCATTTGAGATATTCCGCCGTTTAGAGAGGGGGGTTGCAAAGCCGCCACTTGGTAACATGGCAGGCCGACGCGCAGGGAAGGCATCTGGATGGACGGCCCTGGTTGCCCTGGTGTCATGCACAGCACGCACCTGAGTGCTGCAAGTTATTCGGATGAGTGGTGATTTTGCAATCCCTGGTGACGATAGACAGCACGACTGGACTTGTTTATTCACACACGCGCGCATGGGTGTCATTTCGAAGGTGAGTCGCGACAGTGAATATAGGAGAGAGCGAGTGGGGTTTGGCGATGCAAGCTGCTGGAGGCAATGATGCAACTAAAAGTTGAGGATGCACAATGTAAATGGACCGAGTGGTGGGGGGTCAATCAGCCGAAACCTTTAATACTGGGAGCAACCGAAAGAAAGTTTAAACATCGAACGAGATCCCCACTGCAACCCGGCGGTTGCCCGTGCCGGTCGGGGAGTTGTAAATGAAATCGGCGACCATTCTCGCCGACTAGTCTCACCGACAAGCCGGCCGGCCGGTGCGGCTCTTTCACTGAAGGAAGCCCAACTGGATGTCAAGCCCGGGAATGAGGAAGTTTCTTTAGCGGACACTTACGGCTGTCGGGGGATGCTCGGCGCGGCTTGCAATCCTGACAATTTAACTCGTCTGTTGGGTCCGACAGTGGAGTGGGCCCCGCACCTCTTTTTAAGCTTCGGCGTTTTCATTTTCCAGTCGGCGCACCCCGTTTCTTTTCAGGCGCCATACTTACTTGAGTTGGCTCATCTCTGTGCTTTATCATCACGACATCTCGTGGTCCAACCCTCCCCTAAAAAAATACCGCCATCACCTGTTCTGCAAACTTTTCACAGCACTCCTTCTTCATTTACTTCGAAATGCTTGCTAGTCGCGCGACTTTGGCATCGCGCCATGCCAGCCGCGCCCGGATTGTTGCAAAGGCTTCTGAGATTCGGAATTTCGCGACAGTAGCCCCCGTGAGCTCCGCTGCTCGGAACCACAAAGTTGTTGTCGTCGGAGGAGGCAGCGCAGGTCTGACCATTAGCCACCAGTTGTTGCGGTCCGGCCGGTTTTCTCAGGATGACATTGCTGTTGTTGATCCGGCCGAATGGCACCACTATCAGCCAGGCTGGACGTTGGTCGGCGGTGGCCTCAAGTCAAAACAAGAATTGCGGAGGCCCCTTGAGAGCCTGGTCGACCCCAAACTCAAGTTCTACCAGCAGGGAGTAAGCTCCTTCAACCCCGAGGAAAACAACATCAAGCTTGGGAATGGCGATAAACTTGGCTACGAGCAGCTCGTTGTTGCTCCTGGTATCAACATCGATTACGGCAGCGTCAAGGGCTTACCCGAGGCTCTTGCAGACCCCGGTTCCCTTGTGTCTTCTATTTACGGCTATGATACTTGTGACAAGGTATTCGGCACTTTCGGAAGACTTCAGAAGGGAAACGCAATCTTTACCCAACCCGCCGGTGTGATCAAGTGTGCTGGCGCTCCCCAGAAGATCATGTGGCTTGCCCTCGACCACTGGAAGCGTGCCGGCCTGTATAACCCCAACGACCCTGCAAGCTCGTCCATTAAGATCAGCTTTGCCACTGGCCTTCCCACCATGTTTGGTGTCCCCAAATACAGCGCAAAGCTTGAAGAATTGCGCAAGGAAAGGGGCGTCGAGGGACTCTTTCAGCACGATCTCCTCTCCGTGGATGGTAACAAAGCCACCTTCGGCCGTCCTGACGGGAAGGAAAAGGTCACAAAGCAGTTTGACCTCATGCATGTCGTCCCGAAGATGGGCCCCCATGCTTTTGTCAAGAGCAGCCCTCTCGCCGATGCTGCCGGCTATGTCAGTGTTGATCAAGCAACAACCCGACACACTAAATTCCCCAATGTCTGGTCGGCAGGTGATGCATCTAGTCTACCCACCTCTAAGACTGCTGCAGCAATCACATCTCAGGCTCCGATTCTTGTCAGCAACCTGCTGCGGTCATTGGACGGCGCCGAGCCTCAACCCTTGTACGATGGCTACACCTCTTGCCCAATTCCTACCGAGTATGGCAAACTATTGCTTGCCGAGTTCAAGTATGGTGGAGTTCCCAAGGAGACTTTTGGCGACCTTATTGGATTTGACCAAGCAGTTCCTAGACGTGCGTTTTACCACTTGAAAAAGGACTTCTTCCCGTGGGTCTACTACACCTCCATGGTCAAAGGAACTTGGGGTGGCCCCAACGGCTGGAGAAACTGATCTTTTCATTTGAGTATGTGCATTCTGTACTAGCTATGTATTCCTAGAAGTAGAGTGGCGGTAAAAGTTTGAATCCGCGCGGGTTTCTGGTCGACCTCAGACCTCTGCTGGTTGTGTGATTCGAATGCGAAATCTAATTCACTGGCTTACGTCCCCCAAAGACATGCACTATTCCATCGAGTACAAGAGGCTGTCAATATAGCGTGGTAGCTACAGTAGCACGCGGTTAGTTGGAGATGCAGAGAAGGGTAAATTGATTTAGCATTCAAGGATGCGCGTAGCGGAGGTTCCTCAGAATCCGGGTCGATCTTACTCTCTGTGCCGAGTTCCATTTCATGCGCTAGCCTCGCCTTATAGTTCCCATCTCGGCAGCTGTGAAGGAATATCGATTCAACAAACCCCGCGTACTACTAGTGTGGTGCCCCGCGCTGATGTTACACTCGTATTTTCATTCGTACTCAATTTTCGTATCCATCCATTTTCGTATTACCTTATACAGCCTTCCAGAGCTCAGCAAATATAAATTCGCGTGCAAAACCACTGGTTTCGGAAATCGCTCTGACGGAGAGCCGAGCATGGCCTTATCAAGATGAAAATAATAGCTCTGGTTTATCTCCTGGTTGCGGTAGTTGAAGCCAGTTATTTCAACCCCGTACTTTCTGGCTTCCACCCCGATCCAAGCTGTGTTCATGTCGATGAGACAGTCTTTTGCGTAACATCAACCTTTACATGGTTTCCTGGTGTCCCAGTCTATTCAAGCACAGATTTGCGCCACTGGACGCTTGCTAGTCATGTCCTCAATCGACGCGAGCAGCTTCCACAGCTGGAAAACGCGCCAACTGGCCAAGATGGCTTGTTTGCGTCAACAATTCGCCATCACAACAAAACCTTCTATGTAACGACTACCTTCGTGTCTATCACTTCATATAAGGAATTCGCCATGCGAAACCTCATATTCTCGACAAATAATCCTTTCAACGCATCATCATGGAGCATTCCTACTGAATTCAATTTCACCGGCTACGACCCTTCTCTCTTCTTCGACGATGACAATGACACCGTCTATTTCACTGGGGCTGCTGTTTCATCTACGGGCACCGCGATTGCGCTGGCTACCATTGACATCGAAACAGGGGTTCTTGGGGATCTCTCGTACGCATGGAATGGCACCGGCCTGGGAACCGCCGAAGGTCCACACCTTTACAAGAAAGACGACTGGTACTATATCCTTGTTGCTGAAGGAGGTACTAAAGAATCTCATCGCGGCTCTGTCTCCCGTTCCCGCGCTATCTATGGTCCCTACGAGGGCAACCCAGCAAATCCAATTGTTGCCGCCGAGCACTTGAACTCATCATACATACAAACAGTTGGCCATGCTGATATCTTCCAAGATAAAGCAACCGGCCACTGGTGGGGTGTCGCATTAGCGGTGCGTTCAGGAGCCAAGTTCGAGACGTACCCCATGGGCCGAGAGACGTTCTTATTCCCGGTTTCCTGGCCAGCTGGTGATGGGCTGTGGCCTCGTCTGCTCGAACCCGTTAGAGGACAGATGATGGCATCACTTCCTGGCACATATATCAACTCCAGTGGTATACCTAGGATTGACCATGGCGTTGATGTGGTCGACTTTGCGCCTGGATCGGTCCTGCCCTCACATTGGGTGCATATCCGACACCCAAGGGAGTCAGCGTACTCGATTTCTCCCCAGGGACATGCAAATACATTACAACTTGAGCTATCATCAAGAAACTTATCGTCGGTGATTATGCCGAATAGCACTTTGACAAAGGACATCACATTTGTCGGTCGCAGGCAGACAGAAACACTCTTCTCATTCAGCGTCGATCTAGACTTTAAGCCTCAATTGCCTGGAGAAGAGGCTGGGATTTCTGTCTACCTGGACGAGAAAAGACACATTGACTTTGGTGTGACGTACAACAACGAGACAAACGGCAGCAAACTACTTCAAATTCAATCATACAGTAGCAACGAGAATGTCACCGTGCCGCAACCGGTTATTTCAGCCCTGCCACCAGAATACCAAGACCGCACGCCAATCCGCTTGGAGATTGTGGCATCGGACACGACGCATTACACATTCATGGCTGGGTTTCCGACTCTATGCAACCAGAAAGCTGTTGACATGACAATAATTGGGCATGCCGGGACAATTTTAGTGAGCGGTGGATACACGGGAGTTGTCATTGGAGTATATGGAACTACAAATGGTCAAGCTATTGAACCAAAACCAGCAGCATACGTCAGTAGATGGAGATACTCTGGTAGTGGGCAGTACATAGACTATGATCTCGTGGTATAGGCTGTTCGTGTTTGTTTCTGCCAACGAATAGAGGATTACTTTTTCTTCTTTTTTGGAAGGTTAGGTAGCCTCATTACTGGGCCCATTAAACTCGGGGGGAGAGCCAATCCTGGGAATGTCATATTGTCGGACAATGCTGGACTTGGCTCTAACACCGGGCAGTAGTATCTATTATATCCTGCTTTGTTTTGCCTATCGACGCGGGTCTTCTTAACATGGCAGCACTATGTACGACAACAATGCCGCATTAAGAAGACACAAACTCCACACCAACCTGCGTACGACTTATAACCCCGGCCAAGCTGTGACCAATAACAAAAAATAGCCCCGCCAATATCGAATGTGACAAACATGCGAACTTCGGTGGTGCATCAGGCGGCTAAACTTCTATTCGCGCGGGGAAACATCCGTGCCCACTCAGCAGCCTATGGACATGGGGTTTTTTGAGTGTTTGGTGCAGAAAGGCGGCGCTGCATGCGCCAAAAAGAGGTCCAACATTGACCCTATATTAGTCCACCCGCCATGACGAATCTGTCATATTCCTCTGTCATTTATCTTTCCCTTTTTCCAAACTCGGAGCTTTTTGTCTGAACTGAGATTCAGCACCGTAACCTATCATGGCTAATCCACCTCAGGATTTTGAGGTTCAGATCGCTGCTGACGAGGAGGTTCGTTAACACACCGCACCATGAGTGGCATACCTTGTATCTGATGAAATTCCTATAGCAAGATGATTCTCGTTCAGAGATGGGGACTGTGAGTATGGCCATTTCTGCAAATTATTGATGCTGCAGACACTGAACTTGTAACAGAGCATTGCGTCCTCTAGTACTAGTCTGCGCAGCTCACTCCTAGACTATCGCCGTGAGAATGGTCGTACTTATCATCGATACAAGGATGGAAGTGGGTTTTGAGATTGACTCAATTAGTTTGGTTGCTGAAGTTGTTCTTTAGAATATCAGTTCCCGAACGATGAACGCGAGCTTGATAGACTTGGTATTGATTTCCAACCATGATCGTGGGTCAGCATTCCGCTAATTAGTGCCATAGATTTGGTTAACCACCTATGTCTTCTCACGATGGATGGCGAGCTTGGCATCGCTCCACTCTGTCGAGAAGACGCCAAAGTTGGCCGCGTTCTTGATGTCGGTACAGGCACGGGTATCATCTGGGCGGTTCAGTTTGGCGATGACCACCCGGAGGCCGATATCTTGGGTATCGACCTTTCTCCCACTCAGCCTAGCAGGTATGTTTCAATCAAAGTCGGTATCTCCGTAGCGAGCATCAATGCCAATATCTCAGTGTGCCTCCTAATGTGAGGTTCGAGGTCGATGATATCGAAGACGAGTGGACATTTTCACAACCCTTTCAATACATCCACAGCCGGTTCATGACGTCTAGCATCAGAGACTGGAGAATTTTCTTACAAAGATGCTACGAGTAAGCCTGATCACTTTGTAGATCACAAGACGAAACGACGAAGCTTGGAGCTGACCAGTGCGAACATAGTAATCTGGAGCCTGGTGGTTATGTTGAGCTTCAGGAAACCGCTATTTTTGCTCAATCTGATGATGGAACCTTGAAGCCCGAACATGCTTTATCCGATTGGTCCAAGTATCTCATGGAAGCGTCGATCAAGCTTGGAGCAGCATGGGTTGATACGCCCGAGCTGAGGGGACTTATGGTTGAGGTCGGTTTTGAAGATGTGGCGCTAAGTACTTTCAAGTGGCCGACGAACCCTTGGCCGAAAGAAAAACACTTCAAAGAGCTGGGAGCATGGAACAACGAAAATTTCATGACGGGGATGGAGGCAATCACGATGGCACCCCTCACACGTGCCTTGAACTGGAGCCCCGAAGAGGTCAGAGTCTTTCTCATGGAAGTCCGCAAGAACGGAAACGACCGAAATATCCACGCTTATTGGCCCCAGTAAGTTCTCCCGCTATAAGATCGTCTGGCTTATTCTTACTTGCATAGGCATGTTCTCGTTGGGCGAAAACCGGTCAAAGAAAAGCAAGAGTCAGCACCAGCTCTGGGTCCGGCTTCGGGTGCATCACCGGCTACAGCATAGCGTGGACTTAGAAGAGGAGCTCAGCCAGGGTGCAAATACTTTACTTAGAATTACGTTAATAACCGACTAGTCGACCCTTTCTACATTATAAAAAAATCAAATGTGTAGACTATTGTGTAGCTGACGTTGAGATTATGGTCAAGGCAATCAACTGTGACACAAAGCAAAAGCCTCGATCATGATGACCCTGCTAATCATTGTTCCTTCAACTATATGTCTGTCTATATACACATACATATAGCCATGCCATGACAGGACCAACTGTGTAGGAAGCAAGCACTCTTTACTTTCTCTAGACGTTATTCCTTCGGCTTGTACGCTGATGCTGCACTCGCATCGATAGACGACAGCTCTGTGAAGGCGTTGTCTTTTGAGGTACCGTACGTGTCAGCGTATCTACCTGATATCCACTCTCCAACCGTCACCGGGGGATATTTAGGGCCTGCGTCGCCTCTGCATTTCGAAAAGCATTCAACCACAAAATCAGGATTCCCCGAAAAAAAGAATGGAATGCTATATCTTTCCCTCCCCGACTTGTTGATGACGCGGTGCAGGTTCGATAAATACCTATCGTTTGTCCAGCGCATCATTAGGTTCCCAAGGTTCACGACGAGAGCACCCTCTGTGGGTTTGACGTCGATCCATTCCGAGGAGGCGCGATCCCACACCTGCAGGCCACCGACCATATCCTGCAGTAGAATAGTTATGGCCCCAAAGTCGGTATGAGCGCCGATACCTGTCAAGGAACAACGGAGTCAGACAGAGAGACTCCGTAAGAAGAGAACAAAACGTACCTCGCTCCGTTGCGGAGGCATTTGGGGCCTGAGGCGGGTAATGCAACAGACGCAGAACAGCGATGGGTGTGTCAATAAAGTCTGAAACCCAGTCATCATCATTTCCGATGGTGGCGCAAAGTGTACGGATGATGATCTCGGCGAGAACGCACATGGCGGCGTGGTAGTCGTCAATCACCTTTCGAAATTGGACGGGGTCCGTGACGTCTTTCGGGTATTTGTTTGGGCCTAGGTTGAATTTGCGCTCGAGTACTTTAGGGTTGTCGATACGTAGGTCCTTGCCAAAGTAGTACCCTTCCTTCAGATCTCCTTGTGCTAACGCCTCGAAGTTTTGAGATCGCAAGCGTTCGTATCCCCGATTGAAGCCGCCTAGATCTAGAAGCCAGAGGGACATGGCCCCGTTAGCGCCCCATCCTCGGATTCCGTTTTGTTGACTGCAAGAAAGCAACGAATTAAAAAAACGCTAGACTCACTCTTATCATACTTTTCTTTCACCTCGAGCGGTAGCGAGAATAGCTCTTTGCTCTGGTCCAAAGCCGCATCTAGAAGAGATTGGGGAATGCCGTGCCCTGTGAGTTGAAAGAAGCCATGACTCCTGCATGCGGCCTCGAGTTGTTCCACAAGAATCTTCTTAGCGCCAGCATCTGATGCGAATACAGCTACAAAGTAATATTAACTAAGTGAGCGAACGCTGTGTAGAGCATGCGGAAACGTACCGGAGAAGTCGATACTGGGAATAGGCATCTTGGACAATATACGAAGAGTAAGGGTGTAAACTACACTTTGATAAATAACCTCGAAAAAAAGCTGTACGACCGGTCTAGTCTATCCGTTCAGCATCATGTATATATAACTGTGCAGAATCGAGAGGCGGTTTAGGCAAGCATCGGTGGGCGAGGGGTCAACCCAATCTCGGCCGCGGGCCAGATCTGGTCCGCGGCCGAAAGTCGGCATCACCCCACTCCCGAGCGCAATACCCGGATTTAAAGCAAGTCAAGAAAAGTGTACGATCAAGGACCAAAGCCTCCGCTAAAACTGGGCATTTACTAGAATATTTCTTTCGCATCGTTATCATTGCAGTTCCGACTTCTGGACCTCAAACAGCAAAGCATTTAGGCGAACGGCTGGGGTTTCGGATGATACCTTGAGGTACCTAAGCTGGGATTTAGTCAATTAGTCAAAGATAAGATAAGAGATATGGTCCCTCCCGACCTCTAACACGTAATTACCTCCAACCACCTCACAGCAACCCAGGCGTGCAATCGCTCCCACCTTCCAACTTTTTGCGAGTATCAAAGCCAAGTGTGGATAGAAGCATTCTTTGTGGTGATGCCTCGTATCATGTCCGCCCGTAGAAGTCAGCGCCAGGCGTTATCCTGCACTGAGTGTGCGCGTCGCAAAACTCGCTGCTCCAAGACCATACCCTGTTCTTCTTGCATCGATCGAAGGATTGCGACCAAATGCCATCGCGAAACCGTGATCGTTGCCAGCAAAGACAACAGTTTGGATTGTTCAGACCCTTTGCCCATGGAACCCTCAACTTCGGCGGAAAACACCCCCGCTGGTAGTCATCAGACTCGCCAGACTCGCCTGTCAAACCCGAACGGGTCGGACCATCGTCTCATGGGCAGCCAGATTTCTCTCGAACCGTCACATAGCCCTCAGAGGGTTACACCCGCTTTCAGTATTCAAGAGTCCACTCTGAACGTTCCTAGTACAGAAGCAACAGCGACTCTCGAGTTCCTTACCCATGGTCGTCGGAGCCTTCTTAAGTTGGCAGAAGCCCCACCAAGGCCATCAACAACTCGTGTATCAACTTCGCCAGGAAGCTTGTCGTGTACCACCACTGCCACTGGAATTGAGTTTGGCACCTCGGATGTTTCCTGGGATACCATATTGTCGCCCGACGAAGCCCGCCGCCTACTCGTCTACCACGAAGTGAGGCTTGCATGGATGCATAATGTAGTTCATATGCCAACCTTTTTGAATGAGTTCGAAGATAGCTTGAAAGAGGAGCCTCGAGACCGCACCTGGGTGGCCCTGTATCACGCATTGTTATGCGTAAGTCCTTCAACTCGGTAGCGGCAAAGGGGTCTTCTTGTTCGTTAACGTTTAAACTAGACGACATTCTTTCACATGGAAGAAGCAGAGATGGCTAGCTTGGGGATCAACGCCGCAGGTTCGATATGCTCTTGGATGCCCATACATCCGTCCGGGACCAATGTTCGAGTTTCTGACCTTTTCTGCAGCTAGATGGGACTCTGCTCGTGCCCAGTATGATATCAGTCTACGAAGCCTTTACGATGCCAATTTCATGGCCATCCACACTGTGTATTCCGTCCAGACAATCTGCATATTGATGCAAGTGGCCCACAACCTAGACCAATCTGATTTCATCAGTGTCATGATTGCCAGCGGCATCCGAATCTCCCAATGTCTCAACATGCATCGTCTCGGGCCAGATCGACTAGACCACGATCCAGCAGCAGAGATCACTCAAGAGACTTCCAAGAAAAGCCTGATAAATAGGGAGATCAAGAAGAGAGTTTGGTGGTTTCTTGTTCGCCAGGACTGGCTTCAAATTCCATACCAAAACACATACCTCCTCCATCCATCTCAATTCAATACACCACAAGCTCTCAACTGTCATGACCGAATGGAGTTTCCTGCGGGCGACGGGACGATAGTCGCCCAGCCAGGAAATGTTTACACCCAGAGCACCTACACGAATGCATTGTCCCAGAGTATGTGAAACACTTGGAGCACACACGGGCAAAAGCTGATAGATACCACTCAACGCTAGTTGCTGTCATCATTTGGAAACAACAAGATCGAATGTGCCGAACCGGAAGCCCTGAAGAAAGCTCTGACGGACTGGAGAAGCTCTATGACCAGGTTCTTTGGGCCGATAGAGAGCTGAAGCAGCTCTACGTCAGCTTTCCTTCTTTCATTCGAGACCCTTCTCGACCCAACCTGTCGACACATGAACTACCATCGTATATCAGACAAGTCGCGTCAACGAAGTTGCTCTCTATAGCGCACAAGGTACGTGACCAATATCCTGAAGACATTGAGAGCAATCCGCCCGGGAGCATAAAAGATCACAGCTAATTTTCTTAGGTGTTTTCTATTCATCGTCATTTCTTACTACGGAGCTTTACTGATAGACGCTTCTCGTATACTCAGGTATGTTTTTACTTCCTACTAAGACTGACACAGATGTGAACTGACTGTTCGATGACTCAGCTCTCGTGTTTAGCGATAGCTGAACGATGCATTCTTGACCAAGAGAACTGGCAGAATGAGCCATCGACCGTACCCATGAGACACATGTGGACCTTCTCAACTCATCTAGTATCGTGCTGCATTATTCTTGCACTTGCATCCATCTTCCGCCGCGAGAACGAACTATCTTACGATGGGTCAAAGGTCCATGGCTTGGCGAAGATTGGAAGAGATATGCTACAGAACCTGGAGTTCTCTAGCTCCATCGCGCGCCGCGGCGTCATTCTAATTGATTCACTCCTCAAGTTCGATGACACAAATCGTGATCTTGCCGGGGAAGCGCATTTAGACCTCAAGACTATTGTCCGAAAACTGCTGTCCATGGAAGTTTCGGAAGGTCAAGAGTTTGTCGAAGAACTGGGCGTTGAAGGAGTTCTGTTTCCATGGGACGCATATGACTTTGATATGGCAGAGCTCGATATTTTGGATGCAATGGTCGGCTAATTTCAGTGTCGAAACTTAGGGTCAGCATCTTCAACTAAGTCCGGAACAATCCGATGTTGTTAGAGAGGTCAAATACTCATGCTAGGAGTTCAAGCTATCGAGCATGTATGTGCATGAGTCTTGAGTAATTCTTGGAAGGATATGGTATATAGATTCTGTTCATTTACTATCCTATATAAAATCTTTTATCTAATGACCGGATCCCTTGGTCGGGATTCACACAAACCCCTGTTGGTTGCAGGAGACTGTAGGGTCTCGTACTACAAACGATTCCCCGTTCTCACAACAGACTGGAACTCAGCTCAATCCTACGCCGCCTTGTTCCTAGCGTGGGACTCTAAGATGCCAGAGTTGGCAACACAAAGGCCCCTCACCTGCTCGAGGGCCCTCGGATCAATATCCTCAAATGGAACCCCACCATCTTTCAGCTCTCTGAGTGAACCGTAAGTTAACACCGATCGGATCTTGAGGTACTTCTCGTACGTCAGCGGGAGGGCCTCGGCGTCAGGCTTTTCGCTCTCGGTCAATGAGCTAAGAATTGCGTCTACCGGGCCATGGATTGTTTAGTAGGAACACCCCAAATAATGTAGAGAAGTCTCAGAGGCTCACCGTTGTTCGGATGGGTGAAGTAAACAATACTAAGCCGATCTTCCGCAATATCCAGATTTTTCCAACTGATCCTATGCATTGTTGACTTGAGAGCCCCATTGGACCAGAGCGACAACGCATCACCAATATTGACAACAACACCGCCAGGTATGACGGGGATGTGGAACCAGTTGTTCGATGGATCACGGATCTCGAGGCCTGACTTCTCGGTGAAAACAAAAGTGATGCTGCCCCAGTCGGTGTGCTCCGACAAGCGGGGGATTGCATCAGGTTTCTCGTCGAAGTGGGGGTACTTGATGAACTTCAACACGTTTCCTGGTGCGCTTTGCTTGTGGAACTTCGTGAGACTAGTTTTCTCGATGCCCAGTTGAGAGGCAAATGTGGAGATGATGGCCAGGCTGAGGCCGTAGCAGCTACTCTTGAAACTCTCGATATCACGGCGCTTGGACGCAGTCCACCAGTTGGGCAGGTTTGTGTGAGTAAGAACCGAGCCGGCTGGCATGCCAAAGCTTATGCCTTCAGATGCAGCAAATCTATAGGCTCAGTCCGATTAGATATTAGAGCTAATTATCAAGGGGTCAACCTCACGTGGTGAGCTTTTTGCCATCGTAGCCTGTTAGTGTGCCGTCAATAATGTGCGTTGCTTTTTGTTCCATGGGGAGGTCGAAGAACTCTTTAGACTATTTACGGGGAGTTGGTCAGACTTTTGATGCCAAAAAGAACCACAGGTTTCATGTTCTCGATTCGCCTACATACCATGTCAAACATATCGTCCACTTGGGGGATCCCGTGGTCGGTCAGGATGAAGAAACCCCAATTCTGGCTGGCCGAGAAGACTTCCCTAGCAAAAGCATCGAATTCATTATGATAGGAGGAGAAGCTTATGACGGGAAAGCTGTTGTCCGTGGCCATGATGAAAGAATCGTGATCAAAGGTGAAAAGACTGAAGGGTGATGTACTTGAGCGCGGTGCCCGTCAGCAAACATTACGAGTCTTGCGTTTTAACATATACTCATTTCATGCCCAATTTGGAACACCGAGATAAGACTTCGTATCAATGCTATCTGAAGATACGGGAATTTTAGTCGTTGGCCGCGGGTCACCACGGCCGAGTTTTGGGTCCAAAATATCTCGGCCGCGGGTCAGATACGATGCCCGGGCCAAAATGACCTCAGAGCAGACAATCAACATGGTGACTATCCAGCAACGTTCTCGGACGCAAACAGCAAATCTTGATACGAGGTTCAATCAGTTAGCGTAAAGTGTTCTCCGATCATATTCCCCCCTTGAGTTTCAACGGCTGGATTGACAACTATTATTTAAATGATGCGATAACAGACTCCGGCGTAGGTGTTGTCCTGACGTCGTGCTTGAAATTGTCGGCATTTCGTTTGAATAATTGACATTTTCATTGAAGATGGCAAACTTCTATGCATCCGGCAAAGAGCACTATCGTTTTATCAAGAGTCGGGTCTCCCAGATCCAGTGGAAACTGCCTGTTGAGGAGTCTTCACTTGCGCCCCCAGGCGTTGCATCGAACAAAGGTAAAAAAAAAACAGCATCACTTGTATGCTACTAGATTTCTTTTTGAGCCATGTCGAGCTAATTATTTCTAGACCAAGAACCTATACCCCCCGAGCTCCGCACATGGACCAGTTGGGACTTTGCCACTTACTGGATGTCGGATCTGATTAACATCACGACCTGGCAGATCGCAGCCTCAGCCATGATTGTGGGACTAAGCACCTCTGATGCCGTGATCATAGCCTTGCTTTCTGGTGTGTTGAATAGTATCCCGACCGGTGAGTGGATGCCACGCTCCTTTGAATCACCAACTCTTAGGTGCTGACACGGACCCGAAGTGATGAGCGGCGCGCCGGGAACGGACTACCACATCCCATTCCCCATCGCTGTCAGGTCGAGCTACGGATACTATCTCGGTTACTTTGTAGTCTTCACCCGTGGCGCTTTGGGCATTATATGGTTTTCTGTGAATTGCTGGATCGGTTCGTTCGCAGTGACTGAGGTAAGCATCCATGTTGCATCAGTCAAGAATGATGGAAGTAATCGACATCTTGACACGAACCAGACTGTAGCCGCTCTATGGCCAGAATACCGGCTGATTGTGAATCATCTTCCTACATTCGCCGGTATTACCAGCTTGCAGATGATGTCTTATCTCTTGTTCTTCCTCATTCAAGTACCATTCTTTTGCATTCCACTGCATAAACTCAAGTAAGACCTTTTCTAGGAATTTGTCACTAGATCCTCCAGCGCCTTGGCTCTACGCGTGTAATTGACATGTTGCACAGAACGCTATTCTTCTGGAAAGCAGTGTTACTCGTTCCCACTTCCGTGGGCACCGTCATCTGGATATGCGCCCGGGCTGGTAATGTGAAAGATATCTTTTCGCAGGAGGCTACCATTCACGGGTCTGCACGAACGTGGATATGGCTGTCGACTTTGTGTGCCAATACCAACTCTTGGCTCACGATGACCATCAATATGTCGGACTACTCTAGGCTGAGTAAAACCAGGTCAGTGGCTATGCAACCTAATCAAATCAAGGTTACAAGATTCCTAACACTCATGATACCACCCCGCAGATATGCGCCGTTTTCGCAGATCCTTACGATCCCTATCGTCAAAACTATCTATGCAATCCTCGGCATAGCTACGGTCGGCGCCGGCCGCGCCCTCTATGCGCGCGATATCTGGAGCCCGGTCGAATTGCTGTCTCTCTGGACCGGGTCTGGCGGCCGCTTCCTCGCCTTCTTGTGTGGCTGCCTCTGGATCCTGTCGCAGGTCTCCTGTAATATATCCGCCAACGCGATACCCTTCGGTCACGATGCCATGAATATTCTCCCGTCCTACATCAACGTGCGGCGAGGTTCTTTCATATGCTTAATCATCGGAACGTGGTGTCTGGCGCCGTGGAAGCTAGTTAGCACCGCAGCGCAGTTCCTCCAGTTTATGAACGGGTATGGCAGCGTTATCTGCTGCATAGTCAGCATCATGATCACGGACTACTGGTTCATCAAACGGCGCAAGTTGGACGTTCCGGGCCTGTACGACCCCCACGGACGGTACCGCTACTCTGCGGGGTTCAACTGGCGTGCGGTCGTTGTCCAGATTCTGTTCATGGGAATCACGCTTCCAGGAGTGATCGGTCAGATCTACACTTCAATCTCACTACCAGAGGTCCTTCGTCGCATTTATGATGTGAATTGGTTTGTGTGCACATTTCTGCCGGCCCTCTCATACTGGGTCCTGTGCATCATATGCCCGGCACCCGAGAACGTCAATTACCAAGGGGAACTACAAGTCATTGAGGCAGAATCTCAGGAGATAAACTTTGTAAACACCGGCATATTTACAAGCTTAGGTCTTATCGAGGGGCAAGAGACGAAACTGAGATAATCTATTTGTAAATATCTCATGTTGGAGTCGAAGCAGGGAGCTCCAATGCCTCTTTCCTACCGTTACTGCATTGGCAGACCGCGGGGACGCAGTATCGAGGGTCGGAACTGAGCGTCATTCGTTAGCTATGTATAAAAGCAAGATTTACCTTACGTGGCGCGGCGCATTCAGAACTACTGAAGCATGTGGGTCGGAAAAGGTGCAGAAAGGGTTTTATTACCGATCTAATGGAGGCCCGGTGAATTCAAAGGCGTCGTCGGATCTAACACCTGAGGGGAAGAGTAGAGTACAATTACTTACTGCGTACGTTTGGCTCCGAGAACTCCTTCAAACTGCATGCCAATCTCCAATAAAGAATCAACCTCGACCTCAATGGCCACGTCACTGGTTCAAGGCGCCTCAATATTGCGTAAATGATGCAGCCAAGGGTTATTATGCACAGTGAAATCAATAGTATGCAGTTTGGCCGTGGGGATAAGGCCTACTAGTTCCAAGATCAAAAATAGGGAGACCATATCTAGAAATAATTTGCACTTTGCAGTGTTTTTGTTGGCACGGGCTGTTTTCAATTGGTTATTCCCGTTGTATTTAGTACTGTGCTTCTATTCGCTTGTAAACGACTCGGGCATAAGGCAGCCTCGATTTATATAGGGTCCTCGGCGTACTCTGTTGACGTAGCTCTCATTGCTGGTGGTGTCACCACATCAAGATTGTCTACAGATCAATTCCCACGGTGCTCAAGATGACTGCAGGAAAGACCCATGCCTAGTAGCTTCCTCTAGGCGGGATTAGGGCTATGAGAAACTGCGAACCTATAGCACCCAGACCGGATATGACCAATAGCACGTACACTGGAAGTAGGTGTAAGATGAAACCTTCGACAATGCTAAGTGTGAGACCAGAAACGCCGAGGGGCGTATACCACGTTACCACGTGTCATGGACTTGCAGTCATGATGTCTTGACAGTAACGTGTGCTAAATATAGAAAAGATCCCCCAAGTGTCGTATAGCAGAAAGAGGGTCTCAAGAAGAGGGCTCATCCCAGGTGTTGTGAGGACCGAAGCCGGTAAGAGAGGTTGAGAAGAGAGGCGCGTTTCGATATAGGTGGATTAGCCTGCAGCAAGGAGGGACAAGACACCAAGTAAAAGACCAATTGAAAGATGTGGTGTTCGCCATCCCGCAGGGGTGTTTGCTGATTGTAAGATAAAGAATATGACAAGAATAAGGCCGCACGAAATGGTTATGGCACCAGGGTAGTCAAATTTGGCTTCGATTGGGGGTTTGGTCTGTTGAATACAGACGCGGAACGAACAAGACTGAAGTTAACAATGCCACTGCTCTAAGATTGGCGCCAATCCAGAAGTAAAACCCCTATAGCTTGGACTGACCCACGATCCCTGCCACAAGAATGCCGACCAAAAAACCAAGTATTGCTGAAGTGCCGTTCACTATGTGCGGAGACGAGGTTCTTGCGGGGCTCAGAATGATGTAACGACCCCATGAGCATGGCTCCGGTAGGCAAAGATGCCGCAACGCCTAGTCCTTGTAGAGCACCACAGAAATTTAGCATCAGCGGATTGATGCTGAATCCGCTTATTACACTCCAGGCAAGAAGCTAGGGAAGACAGCATATGACGACGTGATATCCCCCTAACCCCTCAACATATCCCTAAGACTGCCGAAGATGCGTAAGTTGCTGGCGATGACGAGGGAATGACGATCGCTGGCCACACACTGGATCCTTGTGGAATATCAAGCTCCCTAATCAGCTCTGGGAGGATGACGGTCAAGCCCGAGATGAAGTATTGCATCAAGAATTGGGACATGGGTACGCTGGAGATGGAGAGTATTCTATCGCAGCGCCACACGTGGTGCTGCCCACTTGCTGCCGGACAATACTGCTTACCGCGAGACGGCAGCCCGCTTCGTACGGTGTTGAGATACGACCCCTTAAGGGTCCATCACTAAGAAGAATCAAGCCGTTCTCAACTGTACATGTATATGTCTTCCAATTAAATCCTCTCTTCGTGGTATATTCCGCTACAGCACTTTGTCAAGATCGGGGGAAGCTCACGGCCGAGGCGCTCAACGCTTGCTTGAAAGACTCATCAACTGCAGATACATGTTCGGCAGCGTCATGCAGCTGCGGACGCGGGCGGCCATTTGGTAAGGGACAAACGATTTTCGCCAGAGTTCTAGAGCTACGACCGCTCGACGATAAAGCCAGTGTTGTTGGCATCTCGCTGAGGGCGCATTGAGACGAATGTCGAGGTAGGCATGAGCGAGCCCTACTTTTTGGGATATTGGCCACTGGATGTCTCTAATGAAAAGCAATCGCTAAAGAAGAGCAGAACAAGAAACCTCACATGATACTAGATAAAAGAGACTACACGTTGTAAATCTTCACAAAGTAAAGTGGTAACCATGCTTATTTGTAATCAGGACATTTGACGAGGTGGAACTCCAGGATTTGAGGCTGATTGATAGCCATCATCAGAAGTTGGCCAGGCCAATACCTGTGGCAGTCTAGCTAACCTCTCAGAGAGACGTCGGGGAAAAAGAAAACGCTAATGCATGACTTGTGTCTTGGCTGCCTATGTTGTACTAGCTCAACTAATCTGCCTGCCTTCCAATTGGCCCAAGATTTATCGCGCTTTCGTGTTAGATCAAGATCCCCATATCAAAAACGGCGTCCTTGAGCCAAGTCATCGGATCGGAAATCACCGTTGTTGCCCTTGTGATATCAGAGCGTGTTGTTATCATTCACTCAGATCCCGATGTATCAGCGGAGATTAAGATTATTCAGCAGTTTAGACTTGTATATATTCATCGGACTGGCGTTGATGAAGAGGAGTGCGCCTCATCATGACATTTATCTAATCCTTACATTTCTTTTTGATTTTCCACCACATAGATCTTGACTGTTCAATCCTTCCAGATGCCACCAATTGTCCACTGTGTCCGTCACGGACAGGGATTTCACAATGTTGGCGGTGGATGCTACACTCTTCTTGACCCTTACCTGACCACCTTGGGCGAAGAGCAATGCATGACCTTGCGACAGACGACCTTTTCAGACCAGTCGAAGATATCTCTCATCCTTGCTTCTCCGCTGCGCCGAACTCTTCAGTCCGCCTATCTATTGTTTCAGCCAGCACTGAAGACCAACCGGAAGTGTCACCCCGAAATCATTGCCATTCCTGATGCCCAAGAAACCTCGGACGACCCGTGCGACACTGGAAGTGATACAACAATCCTCTACAATGTAGTAACGGAAACCAAGTGGCCTGTCAACCTTGATCTGGTTGAGGACAACTGGAACTTGAAGGATTTGGGGACTCGC